ACCTCTCGTCAACATGCGTTTTTTGCATTACACTGCTGCAAAAGACGCATAAAAATGCGAAAATACCTTAAAAATAAAAGAAAAACCACATTTTTTGGCGTGGTTTGTTGAACTGGGAATGTATGCAATTTAATGGACCGAAACATTTCAATTCAGTTTTCATTTTTTATTTTTTATTTTTACTTTATACTTTGTTACAACCTTTTCCAATAACCATAAAATATCTAAATTTAAAGCATTACAGAGCTCAGTGGGTGCTGTTTTTCTGTACCGCAAGAGCTATCCGCCCGGTGCAGATATGCTCATAACGGTACACTGGCACACACCTCTGCCAGTTTCAGGACCCCTGCACCAACTCATCATTGCTCAAATTCAGCGTAGCAAAAATTAGGAAATTTTTCAAAATTAATAAAAATTTGCGAAAAAAAGTCAAAAAAACGAACCCCGTAAGGCCAGCAACCGTATCATCTATTGGAAGAACGTGTACACGTTTACCGTAGCTGATGTTCGGCGCTGCTGTGACACTGAAAAATGAATTTAAAAGTGAATTTAAGTGAATTTAAATATAACTTTGAATTTAGATATTACTTTGATCAATCTTTCATGCCACAGTACTATATCTTTGCATAGCCCATGCAGCTGACAAATGGACCGAAACATTTCTTACCAATTACAAATATTTCAAAACTCCCATTCCCCTTTTTTCACTTCGTTTTCCCTCTCTTCTTTTACTTTTTCCTCATTTTCTACCTTAGCTTTAAAACAAAAAAAAATTCCACGATTATTGTATACCCAAAACCGTATTTCCTGTTAATGCTGGCCCAAAACTACAGATAAAGCATTGCCCCCCCCCCCACCCCCCGTATAAAAGTAGCGAACACATAGGCAGATCCAGGACGGACTCATCAGGGACAGCGACACGGTTGGGGGGGTAGAGTGGGACTCTTGGGGACGGGGGAACGACGTGAGGGGGGAGGGGGGGGGGACAGGGTGGGAAAAAGTCCCCTTCCACTCGAACTATGCAAAAACTAGGGACAGAGTTTTAACACACTGCTACTTAGAGTTACTTTAGGCTTTAGTTTACTTTAGTTTTAGCTTTAGACCCGAGCTTTTGCAGTACTGTTGCTTGTACCGCTGATAGACCCTTTGTACTCCCCCTCCGCCTCC